GCAAGACCTCGAGGGCCACTATTTATGTCGGGATAGGTGCCAAAGTGCTCCAGACTTACAATCTCGCTTAGAGTACGTCTCTACCCGTGCCCCGGTTCACCTGCGCGTTCCAGTGCAACATGAATTAGGGTGGAGCCAATCTACCATACTGATAATCGTTCTAGTCAGTAAGCGCACTCCATAGGTGGAGGGGTTAGGGAGCGTTGGATACTCAAGCAGTGCTCAACAGTTAGCGCACCCTTCGTCAAAAAGCGCTACACCTCAGTTCCTTGGCAGTCTCGCTGTTGCGTTGAGCCGAGCATAAACTTTTCCCTTCCCTGTGCGCCCAAACTCTATCGTAATCACGTTTTTTAAATGATCTGGCCAGGCGGCACGCCACGCCCGACAGGTACTAAAGTCAGAGTCTTACTACCTCATTCATTTTTGCTGAACTCTGTTGTGACGCACGCGCCAGTGCGCAAAGCTAAACTGATATACAGGGGGGGGGGGCAAAAAAAAGAGTCACTCTCACTCACATTCAAAACAGAATTAATTACACTTTGCCGAAACCAAACCGAATGAGCTCAATTGCATATTGAAGAGCACATTCTATTCTATCAAAAAATTACATAGGGCCTTCTACACCGACGACATCAGAAGATTTTCCCACGGAAACATGGTTCGCGGTACGAGCTCAACGAGGTCGTCGAGAAACCATAGACGATTACGATATGGTAGGCCTCCTTGAGCTCGACGGTGATGACAGATGACGTCATATTCTGGAGACGGTGAAGCAGCGAAGGTGGGCCTGATTCTGCTTATGGGGGGACATCTAAGGAATATTTCGCCGTATAACTCCCAATAACAGCGGCATCCTTTGCGACGAAAAGTTTGATGATATGCGCCATGGGCAAAGTGACTCTTTTTTTGCCCCCCCCCCCTGTAGGTACAATAGCTTGCTGACCTGATCCGAAAACGGAAAATACAGTGCCTGAGACGATACAGAGTAGCGAAGTGAGCAGAAAGAGATTGTTCCATTCCTGCGCTGTACCCTAAAAAAAGAGTTGACACGTCAACACTAGCAAGGTTATATAAATGATTAAAAATGTTCTGAAATGGTTTTTATGTGATTTTGTTTACTTTAACTTCAAACGGTGTTGTGAAGTGAGATTTGCTGGCCAACTTTTCGGCGGGATCCCCTTCTTCAGAGCCTGAAGCCTGACTACGGTAAGAGCTTGCTAAGGGCTTCTGAACCCAAAATTTGCCTTTATTGAGTAGTTAAAATGAGTTGAGTGATGTTGTATAAATAACGGTTCTCATATTTAATCTATCACTAGAGAATCTTTGGAAACAAAAAACAACAACGAACCGTTGATATGACGGCTGCAACAGTGAAGGGCGTAGTGAGCTGAGCCAACATCGAAATGCTCACACTGATTGATGACAATGTTGGAGTGAAACGTGGAGCTAGCGAGAGTAGCGATGTGTAAGCTCCACTGAAAGTTCATCTTACAGAAAAAAAGTAATTGCCTGCCAGTCACTACCTTTCAGTTTGACAGCTGGTTGACAACTACATGTGATACAGTAGCGGTCAAAAGTGTTCGCTGAAACAATTTTCAATGCATTATTTTTTCTCGCTTGAGCAACGCCAAAG